ATCACTTAAAAATTTTAAACTTGACACTATGTAAGATATGGATGTGTATTACTGAAAAGTTACAAACTAAAGTGTAGATACTGTTCAATTCCTCTTAATTTTCAATGTTAGTGTTTGTTTTTTTTCTTTTTCATAATGAACTATCTTTTAACATTTCTTATTCACTCTACAAAAACACTGCAGTAAATATTGGTATTATTACGTTCATGCTAATAATGGTTTATAAGAACAAGTTATCACCTATATTTATCAACTAATATGATACCATATAACACAAACACTATCATTATTCGTTATGAAACAAGGTGTCATATATCTTGTTATAAAAATACTACAGATAAACATTTGAACAATATCCATTCAAAATATTAATAATCTGAACCAATTTCATAGAATTCATTTCGTGACATAGTCTAAGCCACTTCTTCAGAGAATGAATAAATAAATAATCAAATCAAAACGTATTCAACTTTAAACTTGATTTATTCTCTGAAGAAGTGGCTTACACAAAGTCACGAAACGTTAGAAAATCTAATTTTTCTACTCATTGGGATATTATAAATATATTAATGAGTTTATTGATAACAATCTACCCAATGCTCAATTTATTCGAAACTATCAAGTCAAACTCTTGGTAATCATACCTACATTTTTCTATCACCTTTATTAAGAATAATAATAATGACAGAATTCATGCCAGTTTACTGGTATGATCAGTTTGATAAGGTAGTATTATTAAATCTAGAGAGCAGACATATATATAACTGAAAATATAACTGTGAATTATGAGAAATTAGATCAAAAGTCACTCTACAAAAATCAAAGAATAATAATTTTAGAATAATATTATGGTCAAGATCAAGTTGAGTAAGAAGAATCAATGCATTTGTATAGATTAAATCAGTTTTAAGGCATATCTCCAATAGTTTTACCTTTTGCCTCTAACCATTTCAAGAAATCCATCCCTATTTGTATCTCAGTGTAACAAACATTGACATTATTCGCATATATTATATCTTTGTTTAGCTTTCCTTAATTAGTTCTAATTAAATCCTATTCCGTCTAACATAATCTAGTAGAGCTAACGTTAGCCGGGTATGAATACCGTATAGTCCAACTGCTTCAGATTATAAGAGTTTAAAACCTCATTAACCGGTTTACCACATTCATATAAAACTACACATAACATCATCAACTTAATAGTTTTACTAATTATAAAAATAATTTAATAAATAATATCAGATGAGAGTAAATAATGATTTGCCCAATTTATCCCACTTAACTTTCATGTTATATTTTACCATGATCTCCAATTATCAACAACTATGTTTTAAATCCTTAGTTTCTGCTCTTTGTGTGTGTGTGGGGTTTCAATTTTCAATTCCATTTACAATGATCACTTTTTGTTTTCCTACTTTATAACAATGATTCAATTTACTAACTGTTATTGTTATTATTACTGATCAATCCCCATGTTGTTGTTGTTGTTGTCGTTTTCTTTTTCCTTATTTCTGTTGTGTAATTCAACTTTACCGGCACTGTTCACCTTTATATTTCATTTCTCTTAAAATCAATCAATACAAAGTAACAATTCTTTTTCTTAAACTTGTCAGTAAACTTGAATTCAGCCTGTTGTAAGAAAAAAAATTGTTAAACTTCATTATACCTTTCATCCTCAAGTCAGTTTTTCGTTATTCACATTAATTATTTCCTATTCAATTTACTTCTAACAATGTAATGTAAAGTTATTCATTATAGAAAAAAATCCATCCATCTTTTAAATGTTTTTTTGTTGTTGAATAGATCTTTATTAATTACATCTACCAATAATGATAAATGAAATTTCGAAGAATTCTACGTTTCAAATTATATTTTGATAAAACTTCTTTTTGGTGGAGTTTTTTTGTTCTCTGAGGTGGATGATTTAATCGTGGGGCTTTAATCGTTCTTCTGAACAAAATCATCATCAGCACAAACTTCATGTAGAAGTGAAGTGTTCGAATTTATTTGCATGTGGTTCACAGCTTTTCCTGTACACCTCAATGTTGATTGGTTCTAAACCATTCAGCTCAGAGAACAAAACACCACTAAAATCATCCACCTAAGCTACAAATCTTTTCCACCATCTTAATAAAACTTCAAATGTGGAAATTACATAATAATTTTTTTGTTTTGTTTGTAACTTAATAGTTGAATTCATGAGTCAATTGAAGCTAGACCACTATGGAAAACCTAGGAGCACTGGACGGCCGTTTCGTCGCAATATGTGACTCCTTAGCAGTGAGCATCCATGATCCCAACTCACCAGATTCGAACCCAGGGTGTATCGGCTTCGCGCGCGAACACTTAACCTCTAGACCACTGAGCCGGTATCCAACAGTGTTAATGTCCACCTTCAACCAATCCACGAATACATGCATATTTTACGAAGATTATTACTTTGAATGTCGTGTTTTTATTTATCAGATTACATTATTCACATGTTTATTTGCTGAATTACTTCACTGATCTTATTAATTTATAAACCAGATTTTATATGCGCAATGTTTGATATTTAAAGGTTGAAAATCAATGAACAGAAGCTGTGGCTCTACCAGTAAGGAATTTTGATATTTCTGAGAAAAATATTCACTCAAATAATGGAATCTGTATAAGTCAAAATGACTAGCCTAAATATTAATAAGATTCATTTGATGAGCATATCGGCTAGTTACTGGTGGACTACTAGTATACTTGGTTCAATTTTATAGAAGCTCTATTAACATATGAATAATTCAATGGTAATTTCGTTAACTACAGACTTCAAGTGACTGATAGAGTATACTTCTCTTCGAAGCTCTGTATGTTTCACTTAGATTAGTACCCATAAATTATGAAACAAATTAATATATTTCTAATAAATTTCTTCAATCATTCAACAGTAATGAAATGAAACTGAATTATTTGGGTCACATCAAAATAAAGCTCAGTTGATGTATGAAACTAGAAAGCAAATTACGGGTTTTAACCTGCTAATGTCTTAACCAAAGTCTCCAATGTTTTCACTGATGTTTATTGGAAGACATTCAGGAAGAATAGAAGTTCAACAAGGAATATATAACAATAGTATCGTGTACACTGTGAGTCCTGAAAGTTCTAGCTTCAATCATATGCAAGATTACAAGTTCATTGTGTGTAGGAGCCTTAAGTTATGAGTGCTTTCTGATTCTCATTATTTATCTAGTTAATGTCAGTTCGTGATGGAAATTACCATTTGTAATATAAAAGCGATTTTTGTATTTCCTATTGAATAACTTGGTGATATACTAAACAATAAGACGGAAGAACTGGTTGATCAAAAACAAATTTGTATGGTATTAATAAGTATCTAAAATAGGTAAATTATTGTACATAAAACCTTCTCTCGACATAAATTGGTCTATACTACTTATATGATAATTTCATAAACTAAACCGAATTTAATTTGTTGAAGTCTTAAATTCTTTAAATTTTTCAGTAGTAGTCATTGGATTAACCAAAAATCCCAAGTTTCATTACATCTTGATTTTATAAGAAAAACTAAGTTCAATTATATATGTAACTTAGAAGACATTTTTTTAGTTTAAAAATCTCTAAATGAATAGTAGTTATCATTACAGAAAGATATCAGTTAGATAATCAATGAAAATCACTTAAATTACTGAACATAAATTTTGTCTTCATTCAAGACTCCTATGTAGTGGCCATCCACAATCCCCCATACAAAGTTGATCTCACTACCTTTTAGAACATTAAATCGAAATCAAATGATATGAATTATTTTAATTACAATCGATTTATGACACAATTTTCAATTGTAAGTCATTATTGTTGTTTGTCTAGCTCCCAATGTGACTGAATACTAATATCAGTATTGTTAGTTGACTGAATTTTAGGAAAAATTATAACTATTAGATTCGTCCTTAGAGTTGAATTTCCCGGGTTCAATCCCATATATATATAATACAACTTAATATGAATAATAACGCTGTTTTATTATATTTAGTATATGACTTACAATGGAATCTATAAGGCACGCTTCGTGTCATTTGGGGCTCGTCAGCTAGATACAAGTACATCTCAGTGTTGATGTCCACAATCTAACTTAAATCCACTACCTTTCTCTTCTATGATCCTTTAATAACACTTAATTATGTGTTTCTGACATATTTAAATAAAACACATGATTACCATATATATAATTACATTACAATTATCTAGGGAAATATTCTACAACAAGTGAATATTATTGTGATTAATTGTTTTCTTTTTATTTCATTGTCACATTGATAATGAGAACTTCAAAAAGATAGTTAATTAAATACCAGTAAAATAAATTCTTCATCATAATAGAATTAATTAAACAAAAATATTTCTGAAATTTCTAAGCAAAATAACCTTTAAGATTTAAGTCGAAATAAGTAGGGTAAGAGATTTAGGGGGGATTACTAAGTTTTACAGTTTATATATGCTTACTAGTAATTAATTTCAAGAGAGAATTATCAGAGCTCTAATGATAAACCATTACCAGTGAAGTTCAACCATTCCAGATGTGAAACAGTTACGCACTAATAGCATTGAAAGAAGGTTATGTAATATTGTGAATCAGTTGAATTTAGGAATGTGAACCATTAGATGTCGACTCGGTGATCCTACGAAGTGACATTGAAAAGCCTTAGGTTGAATTCCCAGTTATGCCACGGCTGAGTACTTCTGAAGAGTCATATAGTATGATAAACAGTTGTCTAAGGTTTACTGGTTTTTAATGGTTATTTAACTAAGGCCAGTCCATGATAGTAAATTATGTAATAGAAAGTCTTAAAAAGAATAATATTTATTATGGTTTGTTTCTAAATACCGATGTCAGTAACTTCAGTGAATGTGGAACAGTGTCAATCTAAAATAATCCTTTCAATGATAAATGCGTCAAACTTTAATCAATGTAATCCAATCAATTTATTTTCTAATTTATTTATACTTACTTTCAATATTTTCAGGTTGATGATAAAATTTAGATTCATGAATTTCTGAACTAGTCGGTATACTAGTACTAGTATTAATTGTTGTCATTGTAATATTATTAGTTGTAATCGGTCCAGATAATGTTGTATAACTTTCTTGAATTATTTCACGATGACTATTATCCGTATTTAATCCATATTGTTTTAACTTACATTCATGTTCATTAGATGTTGGTAATTTTAATGAACGTGATAACAAATCCTTATGTTTCATTTGTTGTTTTCTATTCATTAAATCATAACAATTTGAGTTATTATTTTGAATAGGGAGAGGAGATAAAGATGATTGTTGACATTGATATGAATCAGATACAACATGAATAGTATTCTCTATTCCAGTTATTTTTTGATTGGTTAATAATTTGTGATCAGATTTTTCATTCGTTCTTAGTTGATTCATATTTGATTTATGTCGACATGCAATAATTTTCTTCTCTTGTCCCTTATTATTAATTGAATACGTATATTTATTGACATTAGATGAAATAACATTATCCTGAGTTGTAGAAACATTGGAATGTTGCTGTTTTTGTGATTGTTGTTTCATGTTTGTTTGTTTGTTTGTTTGTTTCTACTTAATTTTCTCCCTTACTATTCTCTCGTAGACCCCAACTATGGTTTTTTGAAAAAAACAAGAAGAAATCAATCAAATTCCAAGAATTTTTGTCTTTTTTGTTTACTTGTATGACAATATAATTAATAAACCCGAGTGTGTATCTCAGGTATGGTCACATGTGGAATTCGGCCAGTTTATTCATGCCGAAAAGTGTGAAATAAACTTGTTTAATCGGCATTACATTCACATACACTACTCACATGCACACATACCAACAAACATACATGTACAGGAAAAAAACATTTACAAAGGAGGTTGTACCAAATGGTGTAGGCGTAGTAAAGACCGATCACTTAAATAATTGGATGTCATCAGTTAGTTTGGGAGATATGTGTTTGTATATCTACTATTCCATGTGTGTATTAATATATTTACTTGTTTGTATGTATTGCATATGTGTAGTATTGACAATGACAGAATAACGATTGGAACGTATAGGAAACTATAAGGACATAACTGAAAAAAGGGACTATTAGTCAGACACGAAAAGCTATCCGTATGGTCAAATATTATGTTAACCGACGGCGAAACTAAAGACGAGTTCTATGATCGCAATACTAATTACAATGATCTAGTTTTAAATAAAGATACACTAGTCATTTGATTGATTAACATTTGTTGATTTTCTTATAATTTGTGTTTCCCTAAGTCAATTAGAACACGTGTAGCAGAGGCCAAGTTTATGCATTCGATTAACAATCGATTGAATTCTAAGCTGTCAATATATTGGTTAAGGAAAAAAACGTGTCCTTTTAGTAACTACTTAACTGATGTAGTAATGACGATTAAATTCATAATATTACAAAGTAAATAGATAGTTGGGATCGTTAGCACATAATAGTGACCCACAGTACATAATTCATTAGCCGCTTAACGCTTGAAATCGACCTTTATAATGTTAGTGAAATAAACTAGAGAAAGATATGTCTTCAAGTAGTGGGACTATTTTAATAGATCTACTTGAATGCACTCTTTAAATAACCAGTTAGTTTGTCTCACCTTGACCAACTTCCAGACTCAATCAAATATTACTGTTACAGCTTGGATACCATTGTTTTCTTTAGTATTCACAATCAACCAAGAGTATATAAATTACAAATGTGAAACAGATTATTAGCTTGATATCACTTACATTTTTAAATACGTTGAAACTGACCGTCCATGGAATTTTCTCATGTCTTTTACTACTAAAAATGAGGTCATTGGAAAACACGAGATTAAAACTTGGTCCATATCAGATCGAATATAAAATAATCCCTAATCCCTTCTTTTTCGAGAAGAAACTCGGGGACTTCGGAAAAACACTTTATAAATATATATTTGTCTTCTTTTAGGGGGTAAAGATTTCGATTGAAACACTATCAATGTTTAAATGGAGCACTACAAATATTTGCAAAAATTCCCAATACTTCCTTAAATTTGTCGATTTTCACTCTGTATCCTTTAACTTCTATAACTTTCGATTTATTCAGCTTATTTCTTCATTATTTTATAAGAACTTTAACATATTTTCAAAAAAATATTGTTAATTCATAGTGAGAATCACCTTCAAACTACATAAAATACCAAACAGAATCATCTAACTTATCAATAGGTCTACATTCACTAATGATTAGTTCCAACATGAATGTCATAAAATTCTTACCAAAACTCATGACTGATTTAATTGAATTGGGAATAAGATAGCAACTCACTAATTACACTTTATGTGTATAGATTTGTATTGAAATTTTGAACCATTAGATACAGATTTATTGATTTGCTCTATAAGTTACATGATTTGACTTTTTAATGTAATATACTTGATTTTGATTACTCTTAATTAAATGATCGGATACTGCTTTCCGTTCTGCATCCAACAAACTGAGAAATGTGATGATATACTTTTTCATTATATTAATTTAAGTCATTACTAATAGTCTCTAATGAATACAAGTTCCTAGTGAAAACTATTTTCAAATCAATATGATTAGTATTTTACTTAAAAATGATAAAAGCAAATAAATTCCCTTTTTAATTCATTTCATACGCATCTAATGAAAATCAAAATTAATCTATCATCTTAATTAACTAAATAGATCGAGAATAAATTTTTACTAACTCTGTATTTATTAAGAACTGTTACACATCCATGTACATCCAGATAACGAGTCCCAAATAGGACGAAACACGCATCCTGGATTCCACTGCTAGCCACTATCCATCTTTGCTTAAAAAGCTTGTAACTTAAGGCTATATCGAGGCAATCCGCTCAAGATGCACATATGCCAACATGAAACTGATTAATTGCAGTCCTAAATAACAATGAGAATATACAAGTAAAACAACACCAAGTGAATACAGTTTACTAACTCTGTTACACATCCATGTAAATAATTATTTGTTTAACATCAGAAGTGATTTTTGTAGATATTATGGTAATTTCAATAGTTTAGGTCATGAGTCAATTGAAGCCAGACCATCATGGAAAGCCTAGAAGCACTGGACGGCCGTTTCATCCTAGTATGGAACTCCTCAGCACAATAATTTACGTAGATGCGTAACAATAGGAAGTTATACAACGGTCTGTTTAACTATTATAATTGAAGGTATTCTAATTAATATGCTGAATAAGATTTCCCGAAATAGTGCATTTTCGGGCAGGTGGAACTAGATGAGCGCAATGAGCGGACAATCAAGCATAAAAGAATCATTAGTTCGTACAAATACCAAAACGGCCACAGCTTAAATAGGAGTGCAAATTTTTTTATGGCTGATTGTACTTCTCCTTAGGTTCATCGTGTGTCTGTACGACTGTGTATTGAATGTAGACTCTGTATGATGAGGAATGTACTCATTAGTATTAGAACTGACAACCGAAAGTGGAACGAACTCACCTGGGTCTATATAACGTATTCGATTGTTGCGACCAGCCTGCATATGAACCATAGGTTTAATGTCCCGTTTTAACAGACCTTTCGTAGATTGTGGGAAAGGAGTTTTTGAACGAAGGCGTTTTGTTTAAGTACGTTGATTTTTTTTCGTACAGTCTGGTTATTCTGTACTGAGTGACTATATCTGCTCTACTTTCCAGGTCATGAAATTTCGTAGCAGTAATAGAATCGATGTTTGTTTTCAATATCTTGACACTTCTTGCTTGCACATCAAAGTGAGGGGCTTCGGATTCGTGCGGGAAAAATGGACAGTCGTTTTACAAACCGAATGGGTATGATCCATTTTACAACACTTGAAGCCTATGATATGATGAAATACACATGGATTTCGTAAGTGAAATTTACCACAGGCTTTACGGATGGGAAGTTTAGTCCTAACATGATTTACATTTTTCAAACGTTTGTTGCATCTTTACGCAACAAAAGTATCATTTCTGATCCAAATAGTCTGTTCTGAACTTAACGTTTGGGAGATTACTTTTCTTTTTGAATTTTACCTAAGTTAATAGTTGACTGTGCTTCTGCATCAGCTTACTATTAGGCTTTTCAGTTTTTCACGTCAAGGCTAGTTTCATTTTATCCTAAGCTTTTATACCACCTGTTTCTATTCATTTTATTCGATCTTAGCGTATTGCTTTTTTGTTTTACGGTTATAGACTTTTGCTAGGATCAGTTAAACAACTAACATCAACATAGTCATGAAGAAATCACGTAAGCGGCCAGGATGCCGTTTCGCTGCCATCTCTGGTATGCGGTATAACAAATCCAAAGGTTGGTTACACAAAGCGTGCACATATGTTACAGTAACTGCTTACAGTAGACTTGGTAAGTCAGACGATAGGTGAGTATGTGGCACGTGCAACATGAATACTGAGGACTTGCTGAGCAACATGATCATTTTCTCGACAGGTCTGCGGAAAAAGTTGTCAGCAAACCTGAAAATGGTGGTCCTGAAATGGAAAGGATTATCCCGCTCTGCTCGTCTCGGATTTGTAGTGGCATTTGACAATAGCCACACAATCCACAAAGCTGTGAACACGAGACTACTCAGAAAATAGATATTCAATATTTAACGCGGAGAAATACCTAACAATGGAGAAGGCGCGAACAATGAATTGAATGGACGGGAGTTGATCGAGTGGCATGGCTCGGCCATGCAGGCGTGGTCCCTGCTGGATGTTATCCTATATCTCATTCATATTAAATATATTGTTCTTTCTCTAGCCTAACCTTGTTCCTCATCATGTATTGGTAATTGATACGATACAGTGAGTTGGTGTAGTCAATGGTGTGACTTCCACGTAAGATCTTATAGATTAGGCAGTTATATCATGACGAATCTACAATTTTGGGATTAGGTCTATTATTAGAGCAGTACTAATATCATAGTAGATCATAATTCTACATTGGTGAGCCCAACTAAAGAAACGCAACCTATTATTATTAATCCTTATTTTCACTTCAACTTTCTCGATCGATTTTATATTTATGTTAACTCTGTATTCCAATAGTCCTCTGGTTAATGCTCACATGCATTATCGTTATGTTATATTGATTAGTCCTCATGACAAACTAGCTCAATCGATAATAAAAACTGGTCGTCTATATTAACTAATTAGCTTTGATGATTTGTTAACAAGCTGTAGTAGCATTTACATGCTTCAGCGACATAGTCTTGTTTAAACATCAAGCTCTAGCAAATATGACCTGTAAATAGCGTAAATATACATTGACTAACAATGCGATCAAGGACTAAATAGTTATCTGGATCTAATTCTCAGTGTTCCTTCACTTAACACCTCATCCTGTTTTAAACGATGCACTATCCTGTAATATCTTTTCTTCCGACCACTGCCTGCCTAATTTCATATTCTCGAGTTCCATTGCCAAACAACCAGGATGACTACTCCAAAAACATACGGTGAGTTTCAGCTATAAGTTTTCTGCAATCATAAGTTCATTTTAGATGGCACACACAATTATCTGGATTCATTCGGTTGTTCTGATCAGAGCGAGTCCCAAAGACCTCAACAGCATCAAGCACCCTGGAAGTGATTGCCATACTGTATGTTTTATTCTGGATGCTTTTGGATCATTACTACTCCTCACGAATGGCGTTATATATGTCGTCCACTGAATAATCTAATTTTCAAAAATAATCCAGGCGAGTTCAACTATTTTACTGGATGATTTTTTTTACTTAACATGTATATGTTTTCCG